TTTTTGTTTTTTTTAGTAGAGATGGGGTTTCACCATATTGGTCAGGCTGGTCTTGAACTCCTGACCTCGTGATCCGCTTGCCTTGGCCTCCCAAAGTACTGGGATTACAGGCATGAGCCACCAGGCCCGGCCGGTCGGCTTCATCTTTATGGCCCTAGTTTTGCCCATTGCTGAACCTGGTCCAGATTAGGTGTCAGTAGGGGTTTGAATCTGACTTTCCAAGAAGGTGGCATTTCTTTTTTGGATGGCTGGTGGTGGCAGATGTTCTTTGGGAGATAAGATCGGAGTGGACCCAAGCCTGGATGTTGTCACACATGGTGCCTCTCCTTCCTTCAGGATCCGGCCGCAGAAGCCAGGATGAAGGTAGCCTGCATCACAGAGCAGGTCTTGACCTTGGTCAACAAGAGAATAGGCCTTTACCGTCACTTTGACGAGACTGTCAATAGGTACAAGCAATCCCGGGACATCTCCACCCTCAACAGTGGCAAGAAGAGCCTGGAGACCGAACACAAGGCCTTGACCAGTGAGATTGCACTGCTGCAGTCCAGGCTGAAGACAGAGGGCTCTGATCTGTGTGACAGAGTAAGTGTCGGGCATCACTGAGTTGCTTGGCTTGGGGCTCTCCATGCCTCACTGCTCTGTCTAGGGCAGACACTGGGCAACTCTCTTGCTTACCTGCATGCTTGTGGGATGAGACTGCATCTGGCCATAGCTTTTCATGTGGTGCCAATCCTTGTGGAGGAACAAGGGATTTTGGGGTCCTGGTTGTGAGCTGGGTGTGGAGGAAGCTCTGCCAGCCTCCTCAGCACTGTGTGCCCATATGGCCAGTATTGAGAGTAGCTGCATCCTCTCATGGAGGCCAGACTGTTGTAGGTCCCAGGCCGCTTATGTCATGGTAAAATGAACTTAGACTTTAGAATCAATAGGTTTGAATCCAGGCTCTGATTCAGAGTTCGTAAACCTGGCCAAGTCACCTAACTTCTGTGCCTCAGTTTCCTCATCTGTAAAATGGGAATGCTGTTAGCCCCTCATAGGGGTTGTGAGTGTAAAATGAGTTAATGCATGCAAAATATTCAGAACCCTGCCTGATACAAGCTATGTAAAGGAGTTATCTGTAAATGAGGATAGTAACCTTTTCGCAGAGGTACCCCTCAGAGTCACTGACTCCCTGTCCACTTCCTGGCATTCCCTCTCCTCACCCTATGTGAATTTCCTCATAGCGCCTACCACTTTTTTCTCTCTATCACCCAGGCTAGAGTGCAGTGGTGCGATCTCAGCTCACTGCAAACTCCGCCTCCTGGGTTCACGCCATTCTCCTGCCTTAGCCTCCCAACAGCTGGGACTATAGGCGCCTGCCACCATGCCCGGCTAATTTTTTTGTATTTTTAGTAGAGACGGGGTTTCACCGTGTTAGCCAGGATGGTCTCGATCTCCTGACCTCGTGATCTGCCTGCCTTGGCCTCCCAAAGTGCTGGGATTACAGGCGTGAGCCACTGCGCCCGGCCTCACTTTTTTTGTTGTTGTTTTTGAGACAGGGTTTCACTCTGTTGCCCATGCTGGAGTGTAGTGGCGCAATCTCAGCTCACTGCAAGCCCCACCTCTAGGCTCAAGCAATCCTTCTACCTCAGCCTCCCAAGTAGCTGGGATCACAGGTGCACACCACCATGCCCAGCTAATTTTTTGTACTTTTTGTAGAGATGGGGTTTTGCTATGTTGCCCAGGCTGGTCTTGAACTCCTGAGCTCAAGTGTTCTGCCTGCCGTGGCCTTCAAAGTGCTGGAATCACAGATGTGAGCCACCATGCCTGGCCCACACCTACCACTTTCTGAAACAATTTATTCTTCTACTTAAGTGTGAATTATATGTCAGTATCTAAGGGCAAGATCCCTTATCTGTCCTTAGTGCTGTTTTCTGGAACCTAGAATTGTGCCTTGCGCCATGGCTTACTAATTTGTTGAATGTTGAATGAATGTGACTATACCAGTCCTCAATGTGACATACAGTAGGTGACAATGGCTGTCACCCCCCCTTCCCTTGCCGTTGATCTTTTGCCTAATTGAATCCCTGGACCTAATTTGGCAAGCTGCAGGGAGAGAAGTGACGTTCATAGAGGAGCTGCTATGTGCCAGGGCGCGTGCCAGGTGCTGCCAAGTACTTTCACACTCAGTCCTCAGAGTCCTGGAACGTAGATGAGGCCCAGGGATGGTGCAGGGTTTGTTCACAAGGGCGTAAGAACAGGGCTTGTGGGTGGTGAAGTTGGCATTTGAAGCCAGGCCTATCTTCCTCCATAGCCAGCCCTGCTGCCCTGGGACACTGTGCTGTTGGCTGCATTTGTGGCTGATCCCTGTGGAGCTCTGGGGTCTATAAGCCTGGGAGATGGTGGGGCCTGCCGAGTGGGGTGGGAGGATCGCTCACAAGTCCTGCCCTGCTCTTACCTCGGCCAGGTGAGCGAAATGCAGAAGCTGGATGCACAGGTCAAGGAGCTGGTGCTGAAGTCGGCGGTGGAGGCTGAGCGCCTGGTGGCTGGCAAGCTCAAGAAAGACACGTACATTGAGAATGAGAAGCTCATCTCAGGAAAGCGCCAGGAGCTGGTCACCAAGATCGACCACATCCTGGATGCCCTGTAGCCCCTGCCCGCATCCTCAGGGGGGCCCAGGGTGCCTGCACTTTGCAGTGGCAGGCAGAATGGGTGGTAGTGGGAGGTTGTGCATGGAGGCCAGTGAAGGCTGACATCTGTAAAAGGCCTTCAAGGAAGAGAAACCAGGCCCTGCCTCAGGCAGTGTGAGAAGCTTGCTGTTTGTCCTTAAATCTTTCCTTTTTTTAAAAAAAAAGAAAAAAAAACTCCAATTAAAAACAAAACATCTTTGTGTTTTGAACAAAGGAATTTTCAATATTTGATTGGTATTCTGTTCTGAAGCTAGGGTATTTTTTCAGCCTATGAAGCCTCCTGTTTTATGCCCTTCTAATTCCTGATGTTTGGGTATTTTGTGAGTGCATGTGTGTTTTTTTTTTTTTTTAAAGTGTGTGTGAACAAATGGAAATAAAGCAGGGACTGTGAACATTTGTTTTTGGTCTGTTGAAGATCTCTCATAATTCTTAATTTTGGGAATAGTGCTTTTATCAAGTGCTTTTTATTTACTAAATAATGGATTTGCTTCTCAGCAGGTTTGTAAGGCAAGTATTTACATTTTACTTATTAGAACACTGAGGTATTCTAGTACCAGAGTGTTGAAAGAGGTATCAGAGTGTTGAAAGAGGTGAAGTGGCTTAGGTCACAGAATGGAGTAGTGGAGTAAGGCCTCCGTTTTTGTAGTTTTTGCATCCTTCCTGTGAGTCATGTTTTACTCAGCATCAAGGCAACAGTGATGAGCAAAGCAGAGAGAGTTCCTCTCAAGGGGCAAGGGATTGAAAGGTCAGGTGGAGAATCAACAGTGCCAGTGAGTGCCAGGCTTTCTGCCCCTCTTTCCTCTCTGCAGGGGTTCACTCCCTGTCTCCACCTAATGAATTCCTGCTCAGCCTCAAGCAACATCTTAAGGTTACTGTGTCAGGAAGCCATCCACAGCCTGCCACACTCAGTCGACTCCTGTGGTACCCTCTTGTTTTCCTTTGTACCTCTTCTCCACCTCATATACCACAGCTGGAATGTGTGTGATTACTGAACTAGCTTCAATAGGGCAGGAGTTTTATCTGATGTGCTCATCTTTATGTTAACAGCTAGGTGTTCAGACCAATCTATGACACGTAGTTGGGTTACTGAATGTTTGCATGAGTGGCTTACAAACAGCCTAAATATTGACAGGTGGGTTGAGGGATTACTGGGGAAGTCTGTAGAAGACCAGTTGTGAGGAACTGATACTGAATTCTGTTTCAGACATGGCAAAATGGAGGTGCTTGGGACATCCAAGTGGGAATGTCCCTGGGCAGGTGGATACTCAGGCCTGGAACTCTAAGGTCTGGTGTGACAGTGGTAAATGTGGGGCTGCTGGGCCTAGACAAGGTTATGGAAAAGGTGAGAAAGAGGCTGTGGCAGGGGACAGTGCCTAGGAAGGGTGTAGAATAAGAAGAGATCCAGAACTGAACATTAGGATGACAAAGTAATAGTGGCCACTTGGGTTGACAAAGACCAGGACTGTCCTTACCTGGGACGAGAAAGACCAGGACTACGTAGTGTCATGAAGCCAGGTGGAAAAATGTTTCCAGGAGTGAACCATCAGCAGATGCTGAAGAGACCGAGCAGTGCCTTTTGGCTATAGGAGTGGATCACTGAAGCCTTTTATGCATTGGTGACTTGAGAACTGTGTTGGTGTGGGGATGGGAATTGGACCGATGTGAGGCTTTCTTTGAATCCTGACAATGCATTTCGCAAACAGGATGGGAATGGGATGAGTGAGGGCCTACAGGAGGATGTGCAGCTTGAATGTTCTATTCTAAGGTGGGAGACACCAAGTGTGTTGAATGCCACTGGGAAGGATCCAGTTGAAAATGAGAAGCTGAACATAGGGATTAAGAGATTGTGCAGGGGAAAATGGGGATCCAAGGACAGTGGAAGAATGGGAGGAGCAAGAAGGAAGAACCTCCAGAATGGGGCTCTGCAGTAGGATCCCTGGATGGAAATCCCAGGCCTGCCATGCCCTGTGACCTTAGGCAAGCCTTTCCGTGCAAAATGAAGCAGGGCTGTTACCTGCTTCCTAGGATGGCTGTATGGGTCACGTGCAGTCATAATGCAAGGTGGCCTATAGCAAATGCTTGTTAAACAGTGACGGTCTCACCGAGCTCTGGCCCGAAAGCTGGGGGCGGAGGGTTGGTTCTGTCCTGGGGGTTGAAAGCCGTGGAGGCCACGTTTAATCCGTGTTCACAATGGTGTGCCCGTGGACCTGGCCGCACGCACGCCCGGCCTCGGGAGCCCCTGCTGGAAGGTGCATACCCTGACCTGCCCGAGAGGCGTCCGCCGCAGCCCCTGCTTCCCTAGGGAACCCCTGGGCGGCTGCGCCTCACGGAGGGGGCCCTGTTTTACCGCGACTGCATACCACCTCGGGCCATTTGGCCAGCTGCTTCACCAGCTCTCTTCATTCTCTTACTCTCTCTGAAACTTTCTCTCCGTTTTTAGGAGCAGTCAGAAAGCTTGGCCGAAACCAAGAGAACTCGCTGGGCCCGCGTGCAGATTGGTGGCCGCCCTCTGCTGGGCCGGCGGGCCTCTCGCAGGCCTGAGGAGCCAGCTGCGCCTGCGCCCTGGTGTCCCTTCGTAACACTGCAGCGCGTCACTAGGGGTCGCCAGGGAGTATTGGTGAGCACGCAGGCGCAGACGGCGGGCTCTGGCTAGAAAACTCGCGCATGCGTGGGGCTGCTCCTAATTTAAAGGCAGCGCGGCTCCAACATAACCAAAGCCAATTCTCCGGCTGTGGCGCCACCTACGGGTGTGGGCTGGTAAACGGCCGCCTCTGCCTGGACTAAGACTGGGTCTGGGGTCGGCGGGCTCAGGACCACTGGGCTGCTGAGGGGCTTAGCCATGGGGATCTGGGCTCTCAGCTGCCCTGGAAGGCCGCAGGGCTAGCTGGGTTGGCCAAGGCCGGTGGCTCCCCCAGCATCCCGTGCTGGGTGCATCCCTGGGCCCAGTGGGGCATCCAGCGCTGCCCTCCCCGCCTATGGCCTCACATCCGTTGCTTGCTGGGACGGAGCGCCCTAGGCCACACGCAGCCCTGTGCTTCCCTGATCCTCGGTTTCCCCAGTTGTAAACAGGGCCTCAGTTTCCCCCTTGTAAATCTCAGAGAGGAGGTCAAGTGGGGCCCTAGGTGTAAAGCCAGGTTCAGGCCGGGCATCCCTTGGCTCAAGGTGACATGCCCCAGACACCTGACACCTCTCACTTAGTCTCAGACCCAGCGTACCTTCTCTGTGGCCCTCATGTGGCCGTATAGGAGTGACCCACCCACTACCACTCCCATTCAGATCCCCAGGCCACAGTGCCTTTTGTCCAGCATTGGCCAAGATGCCTGACCCTAGTGGCCTGGTCCTGGCAGCCTCCATGGCTGCAGCTTTGGGATGTCCCTGTAGCCATAGGTGGCCGCATGGCAGGCCCCCAGCCTTGAACCTGAACCCTGGCTCAGGGAGGGGAAAACACGGCTGAAGAAGGGCTGGGTGTCACTTTCTCTCTTCCATTTGTCTTGGAGGCTGTCATGGGAGAAAACCCCAAAGGACTCAGCGCGCCCTCACAGTTTCACCACAAGTATCCTGACCGGGCGTCTGGTGCCGAGCTGATAGTGCAGGCCCCGGCCGCAGCCCCGCCGGAAGCCCATGCTGCCAGCGGTTGGGGGCCGCAGGCTCAGACAGGAAATGCCCCCAAGTGTACCCCAGGGCCCTCTGCAAAGGCCTGATGCTTTGGATGAGGCCCGGCGCCATTTTGAAGCTGGGCCTGACTCTGGGACCCTGGCCTGGTTCTGGGGCTGGTGACCTGAGATCTGGGGACTGCTTTGTCACCTGCCTGGACAGGTATGGGAGATGACAGGGAAGGAAGAGAGAATATTCAAACTCGGCTAGCCCTGAAGCGAAAGCTGAATGATGCAGCCTGTCGCCTACCATGGCCAAACCCTTCATGGTGCCCCCAGCCCAGCCCTTTATAGTCTCAGCTTCCGTCAGGCCCTTGGTTCCATATGTGGTGTGACAGGCCCAGGACTAAATGCAGGGGACACAAAAGGGAGCAGACAGCAGAAGTGCTGGGCATCAGGAAAGGCAGGCCGGAGGGGAGGGTCATCAGGAGGGGCCATCACCACATCTGAAGGGTTTGCCTGTGGGGGATGGTGGGGAGGGAGGAGCCCAGACTCCTTTTTTGACTTCCACTCAGGAGATAGCATCCGGAAAGACTTAAGATGAGTGTGTCAGTCTGTTAGGGCTGCTGTAACGAAGTACCATATTCTGGGTAGCTATAAATAGAAATTTGCTTCTTACAATTCTGGAGGCTGGGAAGTCCAAGATCAAGGCACCGGCAGATTTGGTGTTGAGAGGTCCTGCTGCTTGGTTCAAAGATGGCACCTTCTTGTGTCCTCACATGGTGGCAGAGATGAGGGAACTCTTGAAGGTATCTTATAAGGGCACTAATGTCCATTCATGAAGGCTCTACCTTCATGGCCTAATCACCTCGCAAAGGTGCCACCCTCTAATGCTTCACATTGGGGGTTAGGTTTCAACATAAGAATTTTGGGGGGATGCAGACATTCAGTCTGTAGCAGTGGGAAGGACAGGAGCCTGTTCAAATGCTGATGGGAAGGAGGGAGGTAACAGGGACATAAAGGCAGAAGATCCAGGATACAAGGGGCCAGTGAATAGGTCCCAGTAGAGCAGGATTGGGTGGGACTGAGGACTTAAGGGAGAGATCTCATGGGAGAGCCCTGAGAGATCGTGCCTTTGTTAGTACTGAGGAGGAGATCAGCAAAGACCTGTTTAAGCTTCGCCTCCTGGGCGGCCTTCCCTATTCCCCAGGTGGGCTGAGATGTCCCTACCTTACACTACTGGACACCGCTCTCTGAAGTGGAATGGACTGTTTGCCTCCCTAGACTGGGTGCTGTATTCCAGCAGAGTTTAAACAGAGGCAGTGCATCAATTCATTCAACAAATATCTTCAACTGAGTGCAGTGGACTTCATAAATGTCCTCCAAACACTTTGGGAGGCTGAGTTGGGAGGATCATTTGAACCCAGGAGGTTGAGGCTTCAGTGAGCTATGATTACACCACTGTGCTCCAGCCTGGGTGACAGAGTGAGACCCTGTCTTGAAAACAAAAACAATTTTTGTATTTTTTGTAGAGACATGGTTTTGCCACGTTGCTCAGGCTTGTCTCGAACTCCTAGGCTCAAGTGATCCTCCTGCCTTTGCCTCCTGAAGTGCTGAGATTACAGGCATGAGCCACCGTGCCTGGCCTATTTGCCATTTTTAAATAATGGATGAGGTTGGTCATTTTTCTTTGTGAATTTGCCCTCTTATGTGCGGTTTATGTATTGTTGAGGTTTTTGCCCTTTTCAAAGTTGAGTAGGAAAGCTAGTAACAGAAAAATGGGTGCTCTTTGTGATTTCTTTTT